TCAGTCCTGCATCTGAGCTCGGCTCCCGGCACAGAGGAACGTGCTGCCGGGGCCTGTGCTTGGACCCGCTTTCCAGAAGCGATGGGTCTGCACTTCCACGCCGTCTCCCCAGCAACCAGTGACGTGGGTTTGGGGGAGGGAGGGGGAGGGGGGCGCTGCCTGGGTCAGCAGTTTGCAGGCAGCGGAATCAGCACTTCCCGTGACGACAGCTAAATATAACCCACCGAGGGCATGGACCAGCGCCAGCCCAGCGGCCTGCTCTCCACGCAGCTGCCCATCCTGAGTCTCAACAGCAAGGCCAGCCCTCGCTCACTCCCCGCTCATTCGTTCGGGCCACAAACATTTACTGGGGATACGAGAGGCCGTGGCATCGTCCCAGGGCCTTAAAATCCTTTTTGCAAAACACACACAGATGCAAACATAATAATTCCAGATTCTTGAAGTACACTGGCCTGTGAAGTAAAGTCTCTTGGAGGGAAACAGTGTCCGTCTCTAGTTTTTAGGGGCGGCTCGCTGTGGGGCAGAACGGGGGGCACTCACCTTGGCGGCCTGGGGCAGCTCCCCCCAGAGCCACAGCATCTCCAGGTTGCTCTTCTGCGCCGTCCTGTCCGCCGACTTGCTGACCAACTCGGAGTCACTTTTAGGTGTCGAAGGGCGGGAACCTGAAGGACTGAACAAAACACAAATCCAGGATTAAAGCAGGAAGAACCTTTCTTAAAATCTATGGTTCCAACAGCCCAGAAAAGGCACCCAAGCCGGCATTCCCTTAGGACAGCGATTTTCAACCTTGTTCATCTCATGGTACATACACTGCTAAAATTCTGCAGCACGGCCAAAAATATATTCTCTTTTTTGCCAATCTGACCCCAAAAATAGTAACTTTGATTCATTTATACCAGAGGGCTATTGCTGCACTGGCTGTTGTCATTCTTTATTTGCCAATTTCAGGCAAAAGGGGTCAGGGCCCCTGACGACAGAGCCAAGGCCCTCAGCACCGGGTGGAAATCGCTGCCCTATGAGCATGGCTTCCGGACGTGTCCCGTCTGCGGCCACCAGGGGCCCACAGTCAGCTGTCCAGGCGGAAGGTGCGCCCGGTGCCAGGTAGAGAAGGTGAAAAGTAGCGTTAAAAAGAGAAGATTGAAACAGAGAGACGAAAAGAGCCAGGAAAGAGAGAGCCTGTCTTTCATCCACCACCAGCCGCCCTGCCACGCGCTGGCCCACTCTCCCACGTCCCATCGCCAATCCAGGCTCGACAGCGCCCAGCGCTAGCCCTCCAACGCACCCCCTCTAGGCTACACTCAGAACAGGGCAGAGTCCGCTCTGGCTTTGAAAAGAGGAAACCGCACCGTGTGCCAACCGACCGCACACGCCGGTGCCACATACCCGCTCACGCGGCAGCAGCCTCCACGCGAGGTTTCAGGAAACAGTCCGCCGCCCAGGACACCACCGGGCTCCTACCCGCCG